CAAGGACTTGTTTGGCCATGGTGGATGACTTGTAAGACTTGACTAAGATATCAATGGCCGCATAAGCTTTTATGGCCTTGGCCTCGGGACCTTGTTCAATATCCTAAAGAAATTGTCTACTTCTTAGTGACAAGCAACAACCTTGGATGAACAAACACCAGCCCAAATCCAAGAATTGCAAGCCTAGGAGTGCTTGAAAAAGTATTGGGCTTGACTTGGGCCATCATATAAATATATATGATATATATTCTCCAGCATGGCATAACTCGGCCCATTGGCCAGTGCACCTTACTTTTTAGAAAAATTTCAATAAAAGTGTCGAAACCCATTGCAATGTAGCTCAAAGAATAAAAAGATTACAAATTGCACTTAATATAAATGGATATATGAATCGGGTACTTAAAGAAATTGTGGAAACTTTGTCTTCCAACTTGCCCCAATTCGATATTAGGAAGCCATAACAATTAAGGGTTCTTTGGTAATTTTAGCCCCAAATAAGCTTTAACAAGGATGTAGTTTGTATAGAGCCTAGGCTCTAAACAATAAAATTAAAGCCTACTTTCAAATAGTATTGAGAAAATCTTTGTGAAAGCTATAAAATATATTTTCATATTTGCTTATAAAGTTTCAAGTTTCAAATTATCCATGAAACTTGAAAATCTTGAAAATTGACTGTCCAAAAATATGTTACAAAATACAATATTTTGAAAATCTTGAAAATTTTGATGTCGAGATGATCAAGTTGAAGATATTTGGGAATCAAAACAACCTCTTTTAGTAAATTTTTATAGGAAGGCTCAAATTTGATTGTTTAGAGCCTCGGCTCTATATAAACTTTTCCCATAACTAAATGACACTTTTGAGGGTAAAATTACCAAAAACCTCCAATTTTTTTGGCTTGTCATTACTGATTGGGTGAAATTTGGATAGTTTTCAACCTTTTCTTTGATGAAGTGCTTGATTGATAATGAAATTTAAAGGCATATCCCCAATTGTAATTTGTAATATTTTAAACCATTTAGTGATATTGTAAAGGTTTCAACCCATTTTCCCTATTTTCTTGGCCCAAACCCGGTCCAAAAGCCCACATAGATTGTGCATATTCCAATTACCTTATCAAAGTCAGAGTTGATGGTGCAGAGGAAGTGATCTGATGGGTTTCTCAGTGAAGGGCAAGGGAACCCACTCAGTGTAAAAAACTCACTGGCTGCAGTGGCCGGGCAAAAATACATAGTTTTCCCAGTGGAGAGGAGGCATAGTGTGCTGAAGAGGGCGAACACCTCAGCACCAGGCTGGTGTATCGATGCCACCACGGTTCGACCATCATGCGAAGCCAAACGTGCAATTCGAGTCATGATATGGTAAGATGCTGCACTGTCGAGCCCACTAGTGGGCTCATCAAGAAGGAGAAGGCTAGGTCTCGTGAGGATCTCAATACAAACACTCACCCTTCTCTTTTGGCCACCAGTTAGTCCCTTAACGCCCCAACCCCCTATCCTTGTATGCATCGCATCTTGTAAACCCATCTCTCTGATGGTTGTCTCAGCCCTCTCTCTCTTTTGGGAGCTCGACATGGTGCTGGGCAACTGGAGCTGGGCTGAAGAGTACACCGCTTGCCATACCGTGAGGGTGGTCATGAGTGTATCATCTTGGGTCACATGGGCCTAGGTTCCAAAAGGCATATGAGCCTATATAGATTAGAAATTGAAAGTGAGCGGTGCTGGATCGGTCCTTTGCATCTACGAAGAGGTTTATATAGAGGCGAGGCTCTAAACAATCAAATTAGAGCCCACCTTAAAAATTTCATTAGAAGAGGTTGTTTTGATGTCCAAACATCCTCAAATTGATCATCTCGACATCAAGATGCATGGACATGAGAAGCAACATAAATTTCAAGTTTTGGAAATAGTGCATCTTGTAATGCATTTTTGGATCGTCAATTTTCAAGCTCTTCATGTTTTCACGGATTTGCTCTATCAACACTATTTTTGAAGCTGTAAAATTTTTAATTAAAGACTAAAAAATATTTTAAGGCTATCACAAAGATTTCCAATATTGAAACCATATTTCACGACACTATTTGAAGGTAGGCTTTACTTTGATTGTGTAAAGCCTCGGCTCTATACAAACCGCACCATTACATTTAAGGTGCATGATATATCCTACACCATGGAAACATGTATTGCGTTCTAAATGATGAATGGTCGAGATTTACTCTATCCAATTGACTGCTCATCATCAAGAATTGTTGTTAATCTCTCAATGGTTTTTGGATGTCCCCATGGTGTAGCACATACTAAATAGAACTTTAGGAACCCTGTTCTTCTATTTAGGAACCATGTACCTTAGTATAGGGTCCAACGACTAAATTAAGAGGGCTCAACGACTAAATTAAGAGGGCTGATCCCAATGTAAAATCCAGAATTAATGCATCAAGTAAGGTATGTCCATACCGATGTTCCATATGCTAGGGCTTGTTTCCGACCATTGACAAGGATCTCCCCTATTTGTTTTGTGTTAGAACTCACTCGGCCTACAAATCAAGCAATCCAAGTGTAGGACATCACAATTGTCAGAATACAAAGAGCACTCCTGAAAAATGAAAGGGCTGTGTGATCTAGCACAACATGTACAATCAAATTTTTTGCATTCTTTCTTATGCAATACCGGCTAGATGACTTACATATGTCTAGAAAATATAACATTAATTTACAAAAATAAAACCAAATACAACCTAGGATCTTCTCTTGCATACCATTGCAATTCTATGAAAAAAATATAGTTAAATTCATTATTTTTAACAAATACTTGTATTAGTAGGAATTTAGAAGAGATGCTATCCTTGTACAATAGAGTCTTAATGAACAAAGTTTATTTTCGTAAATATTAAATTTAAGTCCTCGAATTATAAGGAGTCCCTTAATTTTTATTTCCAATACAAATAAGGAATGCGACATTTTTTAATTTTTATAAAATTTAATTATTAACATTTTATTGTTAAACATAATTTATTTCAATTTAAATTATGAAATTTAAAAATAAAGTAATAATGTTAATGCATCAAAGGCTATCTATTTTGATTGATAGCTGCTCGTGACTAAACACACTCATTCAAGGAAGGAACAAGTTTAGATGAGGTGTGAACGTCAAACTATAGAGGTAAAGTGTACCATAAACATCCACTTAAAATTAATCATCCCGGCCACAGAATATAAGAATATACAAGAAAGATTTCAAGTCCTAGAATTAATGCAATGAACTATTTGGACCATTCATTTTCTAAAATTTAAAGTAAGTTTAGATTAACTATGTCTGAACTATTTTTGGAGCTTTAAATGCATAATTCAGAGAAATATAGATTTTCAAGCTACTATTGCTCGAGCAAATGGAGAAGTAAAAATCTAATCCGAGATTGGAACCCTAATTATCGTATCAAATTGCATTGCCTGCCTTTTATAGGTAACTTCAAATAATCTGTATTTTTTTTTAAATAACATTTTGTTTTCTTTTGGATAAGTTGGGTTACTGAAATTAGGCTCCCCTAAAAATAGGGGCGAACCAGGTTGTCAGCATTATTACGCTTAAAAGGACGAGAAAACCCTAATGTTCCAAAAAATTTGTGCATCCAAACAAAGTATAAACAACCAAACATCATTTTTGGTGGTATTAGAACTTCGCTTTGATTAGAATGTTCCGTTTTGTTACGGCATGTTTGGTTGGTGCACGTTAAAATTGCCTTATACATATTTTTGTAAATAAAACTCATCATAAAATATTTTACTTTAAAATGGTCCACTTTGCATAAAACTATAACCACATTTCAACCCATGGCAAGCATTTCTCTGGTTTTATTTAAATATAATATATAAATTACTAATATATATTTATTTTATGTTATGTTATATTATACTCTATGTTTTATATTATTAATGTATATTAGTATTATATATAATAGATATTACCTCTATATCTATGTCTTCTCACATATTTTTGGATTTTGTTAAAACCCCAACGACAAATGCTATCCCCACTTGGACCAATACAACACCAAAAGTGCGTCAGAAAGGGTGGAGTTGAAGCTTATCCTTACATATCCAGTCCCTATACATTGGATTCAGAACTAATGGAATAGCTATATAATATATAAAGAAGAAAGTTTATATAGAGCTGAGGCTCTAAACAATAAACTTTGAGCCTACCTCAAAAAGTTCACTAAAGAGGTTGTTTTGATGCTCAAATTTATTCAAATTGATCATCTTGACATCAAGATGCATGGACATGAGAAAAAAAGGATTTCAAGTTTTGCAAATAGTGTATTTTGTAATGCATTTCTAGACCTTCAATTTTCAAGTTTTCATAGATTTACCGATCTATACTTTTTTTGAAGCCTTGAACTTTATAAATAAATATGGAAATATATTTTCAGGCTATCACAAAGATTTCTAGTAGTGAAACCATATTTCTCGACACTATTTGAAAGTAGGCTCTAATTTGATTTTTTAGAGCCTATGCTCTATACAAACTGCACCCATAAAATTATATACTATATTACGTATATTTATATTATACTGAATTATATTATATAGATATATATTATATTTATAATGTATTACATATTATATCTAATATATTTAGTTTATTATATATAATATATAATATATTGTATTTTATTAATATTTAAATATTATTTGAATAAATATAACTATATATTTTAAGTTATAATAATTAAATAACACATGTATTTAAGTACTAAGCAAGTTATCGAA